CTGTGTGACAGCTTAGGAAAGGCAGCTCTGAGAGGTGAACATCGTTCAAGGAGTCTGTGACAGAGGTAGCTTGGACTTAAGCACTTTTGTATTTCCACATAGCAAAATCTCCCCTTTCCCTGTTCTGTGCCTCCGGTGAGAGCACACAGAGATGCTGATGGTGTGGAGACACTGGGAATACATGGAACAGCTGTGCCAGGAGCAGGGGCTGCTGCTGGAGCTTCCCCCTGCTCAGCCGCTCTCTGAGCATCCCAGGGCTGAGCATAACTTCCCCTTCCATTGTGGCTATCCCAGCTGGCACTGCCTGGAAAAGGGACACAGGGTGGTTACAGCTGATGGGTGGGAATGCTCCCAGGTCCTGCCACTCTCCTCTCCGTGGTGTTCAGGAGGTTACTCTGACCCTGGGGTTTGTGAGGAGTGGATCTGTTTGGTCATACTGAACCCAGCACAGAGTTGGGATGCTGTGACAAGGCCCATGTAGACTTCCAGGGAATCACAGCCTGCCAAGCTCCACGTCTGTTGCAGAACAACTGTAATAAATGAAGAGTTCCTATTCTGCTGCTGTTTATGCTCTGCTAGGGGATACCCGAGATAATGGAGCCTGTATTCAGAGCAGGAAGCTCTCTCTGTGTTGGTTTTGGACCAGACAAGCAGTTTTCAGGCTTATGAAAGTCAAATGCCACAAGATTGACTGAGAAAATTGCCAAGGGTCAGTTTATTTAGTGCTGTAATGGTGGTGTTTTCCTTCAGATGGCGGCAATTCCGGGTGCTGTGCTGGTTCAGGGATGGTGGCAGTGCATGTGGTTAAAGCTGTGTTTGCTATACATCAGTGTCTCTTTACATCCTCACCCAAAGGAAGGCAAGGGGAGGTGCGTGCCTCGAACCTTCATTTTGGAAGATGCATTTATCTTGGCTAAAGGGTCAGGAGTTGGACTTGGTGATCCTTGTTGATCCCTTTCAGCTCAGGATATTCTGGGATTCTATGACTCTGAGAAGAGGTGAATCCATGCTCAGGGACAGGCCTTTGGAGTTACAGGGAAGTGTCTTTCCATCACCCTGCTTTGTGCAGGTCAAATGTATGCAGGCCCAGTAAGGAGCTGTGCTTCCCAGGTGGATTCTCCTGGATAACCAGGAGAGGAGAGGTTTGGGAGCAGCCTGGGCAGAGGATGGGCAGGATTTCCGTGCTGGAGAGGTGTGGGTATAGGAGTTTGGAGCTGCTGCCAGCTGTGCCCAGGGCAAAGTTCATCCTTAGTCAAACAAGGATCCTGGTGGGGCTGTTTGTAGGGATCACATGAAGGGAGGGGACACTTGTGTTGTTGTCCCTGCTTCAGGGCTGGTGTTCTGCTCCAGGGCTGCACAGGTGTCAGTCTGACACCTCTCCAGCTCTGGAACACTTCTCCCAGCATTCAGCAGTTGGAAGTTAACTTGCAGTCACTTTTTTAGTGTATTCAGGCTGTTGGTTATCTACAAAAGGAGCGTAGGGAGGTTTGGTGCCTCTGCCAGCCCCTTCCTGCCACTTTCGGGTTCTGACTCCTCCCTTGCCCTGCTGCTGGGGATCTTCCTTCCATGTACACCGAAGTGCAGTGTAGAAAGGCTCAGTGCCATCCCATGAGCAAACATCTCTGTTTTTTGGCTGATGATGGAAGGAGATTTTCATTGCATTAAAATCCCTGCAAATGGAAGGTTTGGCTGTGTGGGGATTGTTTGGGTTTGGAATTCGGGCAAATAATCCCATTGGGAATTGCTGTCACTTTTCACAGAACTATTAAAAAAAAAAAAAAAGGAAGGTTCCAAAGGAACAGAAATCCAGTCTGGATGTGTAGAGGGTCTGTGTCTGGGGAGGTGTTGTTTGAACAGGCCGTGACTGCTGTGGGGATAAGCATCGGGAGGAGAGTTAAAGGGGAATGCACTGTGTCACCCTTCTTGTCATAGAGTATCCTGAGCTGGAAGGGACCCACAAGGATCAGAGCCCAACTCGTGGCCCTGCACAGGCCACCCCAAACTCCACCCTGTGCCTGAGAGCATTGTCCAGACACTCCCTGAGCTCGGCAAGCCTTGGGGCTGTGCCCACTGCCCTGGGGAGCTGTTCAGTGCCCAAACACCTTTTCCTTGCAGCCAAAAGAATGATTTACTTGTGAATTTAGTGGCTCCAGTAGGAAAAGAGGTTGAGTTTTAGCTGACAGAACCATTTCTGTGTACTGGTACAAAATCTGAGCTTTATTAAATGGTACTTCTGTACACAATGTTCAGGTGTTGCCGATGATGAGATGTTCTGCGTTAGAATCCTGGGAGCACCACAGCAGTCCCTGACAAGCAGGTATTAAAGGCTGAATGGATTCACCCACACACACCCTCCCCAGCACTTGGGTGTTATTTGTTAAGAGCAGAACTCGACTTAAGCTGTGATAATACGTTGATTCTTCATAGAAAGTAAACTGAAAACACATTAAAGACTCATCAGGGCTTCGTTAGGCTGTGCTGCCACTGCTGCTTGCCAGAAGCTGGGGAGATATAAATAAGGGAATGTTACTTGTCCTCCTACTTGACTAATGGGTAAAGGAATCTGCTTTTGGCCACTGCAGGAGGAAAGTAGCTAAATAGACACTGGATGTGATGCAGCAAGTCAGTTCTGACCTATTTATGGCCTTTTAGTATCTTGTTAGAATTTGACTGTAATAGAGCTGTGGTGGAATTGGCTCTACTGTGTGTCTGACACCAAATTAGTGACACTCAGAACCCTCTGCAACACTGAACTGAGATCCTCCTGCAGCACTGACCTCACCCCTGGGTCTGTGGAAATGAGAAATCAATACCCTTTGAGCCTGAACATTCAAATCGTGCAGCACTAACAGGTGATTTGCCTCTGTCAGCTGCCTGTGTGATGATGCCACAGGATGATTAAAGCAGATGTTTGCTGCTGCTGTAGGTGACAAATAGGCCAAACCCGTGTGTAGTGTAACTGCAAGAGCCTTTGGAGTCCTTTGGTGTTTCCTGTTCACAGCTCTGTGCCACACACCTCTGCCTGAAGTGGTGTGATACTGAGTACTCCCCTGGGGGGGAAGTCATAGGCTCAAACAATGATACAGTCCTTGAGGTTGGAGAAAACTTCCAAGGTCATCAAGTGCACCTTATGACCCATCACCACCTTGTCAGCTAGAGCAGAGCACTAGTGCCATGTCCAGTTGTTCCTTGAACACCTCCAGGGTGGTGACTCCACCACCTCCCTGGGCAGCCCATTCCAGTGGCTGACAGCCCTTGCCATGGAGAAATTCTTCCTTATGTTCAACCTAACCCTCCTCTGGCTCAGCTTGAGGCTATTTCTTCTTGTTCTGTCCCTTGTTCCCTGGGAGCAGAGCCTGACCCCACCTGGCTGCACCTCCTGGCAGGGAGTTTAGAGAGCAAGAAGGTCCTTCTAAGCCTCCTTTTCTCCAGGCTGAGCCCCCCCCCAGCTCCCTCAGCTTCTCCTTGTGCTCCAATCCCTTCCCAGCTCCATTCCCTTCCCTGGACATGCTCAGCCCTCACTGTCTCTCTTGCAGTGAGGAGCTCAGAACTGGACAGAACACTTGAGGTGCCTCAGCAGTGCCCAGCACAGAGGGACCAATCACTGCCCTGGTCCTGCTGACCACAGAGTCACACTGTCCTCCATGCATCCAGCAGTGCTGGAAACCAGGCATTAGAAGTACTTAGCTCATTACCTTTCCCAAACATGTGCCATACCTCAGAAGAGGCAGAAGTCCTCCCCTGGAGCAAACAGTGTGTGCTGTCCCACTGCTCAGGTGCTGTTCCACAGCCTACAGGAATGTGTGAGATCCTGTACTTGATGTTCTCCTCTGCTCCTGAACACAATTAGGCTGAGGTTAGTTCTCTAAATTAATATCTTCCAAATGATGATTATATCACTTTATTCTTTCCTTTGGAGCAAGAGAGAAAAGGTTTGTGATTTTGTCTGAACTAACTCCTTGAAGTTCAACAGCAAGTTGGTGACGTGGCAGTTAGGAACCTGCTGGGCTGAACTTCCAAAGCAGCCAAGGAGGCTAAATCCCAAATACCCCCTGAGAATATTATCCTCTTTGCAGTCTGTGTCAAAGAGTAAATCAGAGCGAGTGGGCCTTGGGTCTGTAAGAACCTTTGGCTCTGTTCAGGATCCTCATCCCCAGGACTTTAGTGGCATAACTTTCCTGCTTGGTGGTTCTGGTAGAAAAAACCTTGTTGAATGCACGAGGATCTCTGGAGTTGGGTTTTGTGGGTGTGGGATTTAACAGAATTTCAGGCCTTGGGTTATTGAATGAGTGCACTTACAATGGCATTATAATCCATGAGAGAAGCTTTTATTTTTGTTCTCCTGAATCAGCTTTTTCATTTATGTAACTTTCTATGGTTTCTGGAGCAAGTTGTGGGTTTGTTTGGGGAAGTGCAGACTTTGTCCTTTGTCCCAGCTGTGTTCCTGGCTCGTGCGGCCAGCCCTGAGCAGTGGGGTGGTACCTTCTGCCTGCCTACAGCCCCTCTGCAGACAGACCACGTGTCTCCAGACGTGATGAAACCTCCAGGTTAGACTGCAAAACCCTTTGGGGAGTCTGCATTTCCCCCAGCCTTGCTCCAGGGTGGGTGGTCCTTTGGCATCCTTTCACCCCAGGACTTTTTCCCTGCTTTTCCAAAGCCTTCTAGAGCCATATGTGAGCAACAGGAATGTGGTTGGTGCTCTGTGTGTGAGCTGGAGGCTGTTCCCTCCTGCCCCAGGGCTGGGGCTGGTGGTGCTGGTGCAGCCTGGGGTTGGTGGGTGCCTGGTGGTAATAAACACATTTTAAGCTGTTGGGATCTAACCACATCAAACCAGGACACATGTGGATATGCCATGGGCATTCTCAAAGGGCCCTGGAAGCAGACTTAGTCCATATGGAGCCCATCTGGACACTGCCTAATTCTGACATAAAAATAAGAGCAGCACGAGTCCAGTGTGAACTTTTCCAGCCTCCCGTGTTAGATTCAGGGCACAGAAGTTCATGGTGGTTTTGGTGTGGGTGTCCTCAGTCCCATTCCTTGCAGAGCAGAGCCTAAATGTTAGGAAAGACAACGATGACACTACTACATGCAATGCTCAGCTTAAAATAGCAGAACAAAGAAGTGCTGTGAGTTCTGCAATGATAATTGCCCAGACCTAAAAATAGGCAGATGTTCCTCCAGGCAGAGAGAGGTAAGAGTGAGACAGGAATTGCTGGGAGACACCTGGCAAAGCTCTGATCAAACAGGTCATGGCTGGAGGCACCCTCAGACCTTCATTACAGGGTGTGGTGGCCACCAGCACCACCAGAACTGCCACACTGAATTTTGAGCTAATGGGGGGGATAAAATCTGAGAAATAAACCTGAGAAAAACACTTCAGACAAAAAAAAAAGGAATATTTGAGTACAACCAGGGAAAACTCTGGTTGGGCCCAGGGCCAGGGTTGCTTGGGAGGGTTGTCTTGGAGGGACTGCTGCAGTGTGCTGGGGTTAGAACAAGCTAAGAGCTGTCCGGAATCTGTGACATTTAAATCCATTGCTGAGCTGTTTAACTCCCACAAATTCGGTTGTACTGGGAGGAGAAATTTACAAGTGTTCAGAGCTAATTTGCAAGTTGGAGCCTCTGTGTTAGCCACTCAGGTGAGGAAGGCAATGTCAGTGTAGAAATTAGGTGAGAAATGTAAAACCCAACCCAAGGCAAAGCAAAACCTCTGATACTTTTAATTCTAATTCCCAAAAGTGGCAGAGGATTGCAGCAGTGCTGGTCAGCCACAGCAGCAGAGGAGAGCAGCTGCCCCTGGGATGTAAAGATTTGCCCCCACTAACGATGCAGCAGCTTGTTCAAAACCAGCAGTGGTGTAAAATACAGCTGCTTTAAAGCTGCGGGTGCTTTTGAATATCCAGAACCCAGAAAGCTGGAATTGGGAATGGGAAAAAACCACCTTTCATTGCTGGTTTGGGCTAGAAACTGAATGGGTAAGTGTGTGAGATCTAGATCTGCTGTAAGGTGTTGCTTCTCTGTTGTCCTGGTGCTGTGAGGTTGGCAGAGGCAGCTCAGGCCACACGCACAGCAGGAGCTGGAGGGAATCATGTACTCATGGAATCATTGTGGTTGGAAAAGACCTTTGAGATCATCAAGTCCAACCATCAGTCCAGCACCCCCACTCAACCATGTCCTCAGGTTCCTCCATCCACACGTTTTTTGAACACTTCCAGGGATGCTGACTCCACCACTGCCCTGAACAGCCTGTGCCAGTGCTTGACACCCCTTTCCATGAAGAAAGTTTTCCTGATATCCAACCTAAACCTCCCCTGATGCAACTTGAAGCCATTTCCTCTCATCCTGATGCAATAACTGGTGATATAACCATGGCTGGGAACATCACAAGAAACCTCTTTAAAATTGTTCTGAATCCTCACTGCAGATATGAGCCATTGAATCCCATCTTTGGGAAATAAGGAGATAAAATGTGTGGTTTTCCCTGTGATAGAGGTCAGGGCACAGCACCCACGGAAGTGGAGGAGAAGCCCCAAGCCAAGTGCCAGGACAGCAGAGCCACAGCCAACAAGTTTGTTGTGTGACCAGAACAGCAGCACTCAGACTGTAAACTGACTTTGCCTTCCAGTGGGCCAGAAATAGATTTCCAAAACATGTCCATTGTCCAACAAGGGATTTATTTATAAACTGACAAAATAACAAGACTTAAAAACCACCCCAAACCCTTTCTTGGCCAGCAGTGTAGACTAGACTGTTCTGTGTGTGTGTCTGTGGATACCACATAAGAGAGAAACTTCTGTGAAGTTCAGTTCAGTAAAATGTTAAAAGGAAGTGTTTCCCTGAGTGCAGCACAGTCCTGGCTGGAGCTGAGGCTGGAGTGCTGCCTGCTCCCTGCATCCTTCTGTTTCAGAGCTTTTACTTGACTTCTTAGTATATTTTTTTCCAATGAATAAATATTTGAAGGAGAAAAAAGTATTGAGTCTAAAATGTTGCAGCATTTTCTGGCAAGTTTTTACCCCTTTTGGACTTAAAACTATTTTTGATGTATTGATTTGTTGGAAAAAGTCACCTGGTTGTGCTCTTGGCAGCTCTGATGTGGTTCCTCTTGCATTCCTGACATCATCCACTGATGGAGTTAGATCTTAGAACAGTAAATGGGTATTCAGGTGAGGGACAGAACTTGCTCATAATCATTTTTATTGTGTGCTGCTCTGTTGAAATCTAAATGTTTCATGATTGATTTGTAACTGGAAAGGGAGAGAATCCTGATACCCAATGGATGTTGTAGCTGAAGATCACAGCGTGGTGGTGAGACTTCCCTTAGCCACCAATAACTTGCCATAAAGCTGTTCCTGTCTGTGGAACAGACTTTGGAAGCCTAAACAAAGAGAAAATAGATTCATTTGGTTGAATGTTCCTTTCAATATTATCTTGGGAACATCAGCAAAAGGTATAATGTTTCCAGTCACTTGAGGAATTTTAGCTGGTTTTGTCCCTGTGTGAGTCAGTGTGTGCAGGCACAGACAGCAGGAGTGATTTCTGTTCCTGAGCAGCACTGGCTGTCCGGAGGGGTCCTTGTTCCCCAGGCAGGGCAATGAGGAGCTCCAGGGAATGCAGCCCTTCTCCCAGCAGTACTGACTTCTCCTGCTCCCACCCCTTCTTGTTCCATCCCTCTGCTCCATCCCACTCTCAGGGTTTCATAGTGTGTTAAGGGGTTGAAATGGAACTTAGAGATGATCCAGCCCCAACCCCTGCCCTGGGCAGGGACACCTCCCACCAGAGCAGGTTGCTCAAGGCTCAGCCAACCTGGCTGTGAACACTGCCAGGGTTGGGGCAGCCACAGCCTCCCTGGGCAACCTGGAACAGTGTCTCACCACCAGAACAGGAAAACATTTCTTCCTAGTATCTAACCTCAATTTCCCTCCTTCAATTTGTGCCCATTGCCCCTTGTCCTGTCCCTGCAGCTCCTAACACAGAGTCCTCTGCAGCTTCCGTGGAGCCCCTTCAGCTCCTGGAAGGTGCTCTGAGGTCTCCACACAACCTTCTCTTCTCCAGGCTCAACAGCCCCAACTCCCTCAGCCTGTCCTCACAGGGGAGATGCTCCAACCCTCTCATCAGCTTTGTGGCCTCCTCTGCAACAGTTCCATGTCCTTCTGATGTTGTGGACACCAGAACTGACATCTCCATCTATCCATTTTGCTCATTCCCATCCACTCCTGCCTGCAGCCTCTTCCCTTCCTTGCCAGTTCTCTGCCCATCCCTATCCTTGCTTTCTCAGTTCCTGTGCTTTTGTGTCTCTCCATGAGTCCTCCTGCCCCACCAGTGCTGTTCCCAAGCCTCAGGACTCTGCTCCTGGTTCCTCTTCTCTTGCACTGTCTGCACACACATTCCCAGCTCTCTGTGGTGCTCCTTGCCCTGCACAGTGTGTCAGGAGCACTCGGAATAAACAAGGATTTCTGTGTTTGCAGACTGCAGAGCTGCAGCTCACAGGCCAAAATCTCTTCAGACATGACAGTTGTTTAGGGAGGATGAGGTGTGGGATCTGGAGAGGCACTGGCTGAGGTCCATGGCTGCTCAGGCAACTGGGAGAGGTTTTCTGGGAAGCGAGTGCTGCGTGTTGACAGGCACATCCTGAAGGAAGGCTCCTCACTCCTTCCCAAACATGGGCAGCAGGAACCATCTCCCAGGCTCTGTCCTGAGCGCAACATATGCCCTTTCGAGTAAGACAAAACACCCTGAAGCAGCAGCAGACATCTCTTGCTCTATTTTAGGCACTTCCCTCCCAGTGGTATTCCACTGCCTGAGATTAATGGAAGTTTTCTGAATAAAATCTCATAAATTATCAGGATCTAGTAGCTCAGGGCCTGTCCTGCCCAGTGGTTGGTCCTGCTGCCACACTCTGCTGCTGCCAGGCCAAGGTGCCCTTGGCCTCCTTGGCCACCTGTGCACACTGTTGGCTCCCACTGAGCTGTGCCACCAGCACTGCCAAGGCCTTTGGGACCAACACCTCTGTCCCCACTGCTCCCCCAGCCTGGAGCTGCATGGGCTGTTGTGTCCCCAGAGCAGGACCAGCACTGAGCCTTACTGACCCTCAAATTGTCCTGTGTAAGTGCTCATCACTGTGGCTGGAAGACTTGTGTGTAGAGCTGGGAGGAAAACATTGCCTCTTTATCTTCCAACCGTTTTTTCCTTTGGCCAGAAAACCAGGATTTTAGGCTAGTACTAGTCATGCATCAACCCCAGCTCTTCGCTTTTCAGGAGAATTCTTTGGAGAATTACCACCCGGGACCTGAAAGTGACAGAGACCAAACTTCTCTGCTTGCCTTCCAACAGTGCCTTTTCCAGCAGAAAAAATTACACTTCCAGCTTTTCCAGCTCTCCAGAAACAAGCAGAGAGGGTTGTGATGGTGAATTTGGGATCTGGCTGTGCTACAACGCAGACACTGTCCCACGGTGAGGATGAGGTGCCGTGAGGAGTGTGAGGATGTGTGTGTGAGGGTCTAAGAGGCAAAATGATCTAAACCCAGAGACTTTCCAGGCATCAAAATGACGATTCCTGTCCAACTCACAGCTCCTTTTACCTGGCAGAGTGTAACCTCTTAGGTTTGTCTGCTGAGAACTGCTTTTCTCTCCATCCTGTACACAAATTTTTTCCTTAAGGCAATATTAACTCCTCTGATTTGATCTATTTTTAGCCACGGTGAAAATTAACAATATCCCTGTGTTCAGGGGTGCTCACAGATGGAGTCCAGCAGCTCCTGTGCTGACGTGGGAGGAGGGATTACGCTGCCTTGCAGCCCTGGGAAGGCACTTCCCCCCGGGAGCTGGGAGTTGGGAGCATGTTATCCACTGTCAGGAGAGCAGGATTGGTCCCTTAGGACCACACTGAGCTGGATTCATCCCTCCCAAGGGCTGTTTGAGCCTGGCCTGGCTCCCTGTCGGGGACAGAGCAGCCAAACACGGAGTCAGTGGATGCCTGAGGAGAGTCTCTGGATTTGCTCCCCTATCCCACACACTCCCAGGGCAGAGCTTTCCCTCACTCCTACCTCATCCTCCTGCTGCTCCCAGCCTGGCTCAGAGCTCCCTGGGTGTGGGGCTGTGCACAGGCTCCATATTTGGCTCTGGGCTGGCTGTGCCTTGACCCCAACTCCGTGTTTTCTGTGGCCGTATATGGAGTGGCTGCTGCAGGGAGCTGGGGCTGACCCGAATTAGCAGCACTGCAACATCTGTATGGAACAGCTCCTGTGACACTGAGCTCAGCAGGTTCAAGCCAGGCCTTGCACTGGGTCTGTGGTGGAGGGAGTCGCTGGAAGAGAACAAATTTCCCATTAAATCCTGGGGTTATTGTTTGCCAGGATGCACATGGTTGTGATTTCCTGTGCGGTGGTAAAGTTGTGCAGAGGGAGAACAGAGCATAAGCAGAACATCTCTGTGCAGGGAAGGCAGCAATTCACAGTGACAGTGATAAAAACCACCTGCCCTGGGCAAAGCCAGCACAGGCTTTGGCACACACATCCTGCTTTGCCCTTGGGTGCTGTATAAGGATGGGTGGGATCAGGTGTGGGACCTGCCCCTGCTGGCACCCAGGAACGGGTTTTGTCCGAAGAAACGTGAGCTAAAATTGCTCTGGGATCTTCCATGATTCCTGTCAGATCTCTGTCCTGGCACTGAGCTACATTGACTGTGAGGGGGGAGGGATCAGCCTGTGCTTCCAGGGGCACAGGGAAGCAGGTTGTACCTCAAATGTGCCTCCAGCAAACTCCACTGCTCCTGGAAAACCAGCATTGTTCTGAGTTAACTGTAAAGCCAAACCTGCTCACACCTCTCTGTGCTTTTGGCTGGACACTTTTAAGGCTCACAACCCTCACATGTGTGTAGAATCATAGAATCACCATGGTTGGAGGAGACCTCTGAATCATCGAGTCCATTAACTTGTTGGAACCCCTGAACTCTAAACCAGATCCTCCAGCACCAGATCCAGACACCTCTGAAACACCTCCAGGGATGGTGACTCCACCACCTCCCTGGGCAATACCCCAGGGCCTCAACACCACAACAGGAAAAACATTTCTCCTTACATCCAATCTGACTCTGCCCTGGCTCAGCTTATGGCTATAAAGGACTGTAGGGACAGTATCTTTAAGCTCCAGACTGTTCACTTATATAGGAGCCAAGTGAAGGCTCTGACTCTTTAGAAGACACTTTTTTACTCCCAGAATTTTCTTTCCACATCCATTTTCACCCTGTTTCTCACCCCCCATCAAACCCTGGAGCTGCAGCAAAAACGCTTTGACCGATTTTGCTTGCTTTCTCTCCATTCTTTCTTTTTTTTTTTTTTTTGACAGATCAAAAAGCAGCAGCAAGATGTGTTAGGCTTCTTGGAAGCCAACAAGATCGAATTTGAGGAGAAGGACATTGCTGCCAACGAGGAGAACAGGAAGTGGATGCGGGAGAACGTGCCTGAGGACAGCCGACCCGCCAGCGGCAACCCCCTGCCCCCGCGGCTCTTCAACGACAGCCGCTACCTCGGGGTACGACCTGCTGCTCCTCCTCACTGCCAGGCCTCTGCTTCTCTCTGGGAACACCTCGGGATCACCTTGGGATCCCTTGGGATCATCAGGGCAGGGCTTGGCCAGCTGCACACCCAAGCATCCCAACAGTGAGGGGCGTGGGAGGTGTTTGATGTTTCTCCTCCTCTTGGGCTTTCAGTCGTAATTGGTTATTGAATATTGCAGTTCCACCAGAGGAGAGATTGAAATTTAGACCTAGAATTATCGAGCCATCAGGATTTGAGGAGATCTCTAAGGTCAGGAAGTCCAACCATTAACACTGCTGGACTGGAACCACTAAACCCTAAACCCGATCCTCCAGTGCCACATCCAGACACCTCTGAAACACCTCCAGGGATGGTGACTCCACCACCTCTCTGGGCAACCTATTCCAGGACCTCCTGATTCAGGTCCCACCTTGCAGTGTATATATATTTTTTCCCCTCCTAAGGCTCTGCAAGTTCAGAGGTTTTTAATTCTCCTGCTCCTCATGATGGTGAGCTGACACCTCACAGAAATCTGGCACTGCTGCACCAGCCTTGACTTCTGCAGCAAATTCAGAGCTCTTCACTGTCTACATGAGGTTTGCCAATAGGTGTGGATCCCAAATCATATAAAGTCACATCTTCACGATCATAAATCAGTCTCCTGATCTTTCCTGGGATCAACTATGTGTGCTGCTTGTGAAGGCTGTTTAAGGGTGCTCAGCACTCCAGTCCTCTCCCTTCAGTGCTTTGGCCAGATTCAACCTCATGCTGCAAATACAAATCCTACTTGTAATTAATTTAATGCTTGCTCACAAGTAGGTTGCCCTGCAGTGCTTGTACTCAGCAGGCCATGCTTCAGTGGTTATTAGATTAACTGTTAGTTTGATTTTTAAAACTGAGTATCTGCTGTAAGGAGCTCCCAGTGTGCATTCCTCTGGGCCTTCTGCAGGCTGGTTCTGACCTGCAGAGTCAGAACCTGCCAGTGCTGGACCTTTGTGAGGTGATTCTGTGGCTGCTGAAAGAAATTATTCTCCATGTGCCAGGAATTTTTCTTGCCTGTAATAAGAGCAGAAGTTGAAACAGTATCCACAGTGAGCTGTTGTGCCACTGACTCTGGTGGTGACATGGAAGAAGTTTGGAGTGACAAATGTAAGGGTCAGTAGTTGTGTGTGGCCGAAAGCTGAGCACAAGGAGATGAAATTTCTGTTATCTCTCCTTAAAAACAAAGTGACAAAAGAGGCAAATATCCCTGTCCCAGCACAAAGTTCAGTTGCAGCAGTATCACCTTTCTCCCTGGGAGCTTTAGGGATGGCAGCAGATCCCTGTGCAGTTGTCCTTTATGGGTGATGTGTTGCCAAACTCCTGCCACAGCTGTGTGCTGGAACAAGGCTGTGCTGTGGGGCAGGGAGAGAGCAAGCTGTGTGCACCCAGGTCTGGGTGCTTAGCAGAAATGCTTCTGTGCCCCACAACACTTCTGAATACAGTGATTTTGGGGAGGGGGACAAGTGCTTCACACCAGTTCTTGCTCTGGGTTTACTTCACCCCCCAGATTTTGGGTGATGTCACTTTGAAGTTTGGTGGGTTTGTTGCTGGATCCAAGTTGCTCCAATTCAGCTCTCAGGAAGGTCAGGGTTAATTCTGTGCCCACACACTTGAACCTCTTTGTGTCTTTATCTGATCCCTCTGGAGCATGAACTTCCCTGTGTGTTCCATCTGATGCAGCACAACTGGCAGAGGAAAGAGCAAGCTGACTTTGCTGGCAGAGAGGCTGTGGATGCTGTGAGCTGGCACAAGCTCTGCTCCACAGCCCCAGCCATTCTTTCCTGGGAGATGCTGTGGAGCAACCTGATGGACTATGCCCTGGCAAGATAACAACCCCTTTGTTATCAGGTAGCCCCAGTGCTGTCAGCCAGAGGCTTTCAGGGAGGATTTACCCTCATCATGCACACTTTTATCAGACTAGCACACCAATGCAAATCCAGCAACATTGTGCCATCCCTGAGCTCCAGCCAGGTGGAATCCTCTGCTCCCTGCACTTTGCTCTGTTCCAGGTGCAAAGCCTCTCCTTGGAGCTGCTCCTCTGGACACACATTCAAACAGCACTGGCTGTTTCTCAGGCCTGAGCCTACCAGGTAGTTAGGAATCCAGAGCAGCATGTCCTAAACAGCAGCTCTGTCCCTGGCTCCAGCCCAAATCGGAGCTGCTGCCTCACTGTGGCCTTCCCAGCAGGACTCTGCAGCCAGACACTCCCCAGGAAAGCCTGAGGAGGCTGGTGCTGTGCTATGTTCCAAAAGGAGAGCAGGAAAGTCAAAGGGCAGATGTGTGGTGAGTTCAGAAGTCAGAGTGAGGGAAGCTTGCACAGACCTTCTGTTTCCTTTGGTTGGGGTTTGGCAACTGCTGTTTCTTTCTTTAGTTATTGATTTTTACTTTCATTTTCCTGGGAAGTGGCTGTGTGTGTATCTAGAGCAACTGAAGTGCACTGTGAGTGCAGTGAATAGTGCCACCACATTGCCTTCTCCTGCACAGACTTTCCTTGGTGGGAAACACATTTGGAAAGGTGGAAAGGTTTCAACTGAGCTTTAACAGGGCCAAGAGCTGACTCCACAGCTGCAAAGGTTTCAGTTGGACCTGTAAGAGGTCCAGGAGCTGCACAGTTGCCATCACTAATCTGCAATTAGTAATGATATCTGGGGACATCAGTGTTTCTGATGACCAGGTCCAGGCTCAGCTGCTCCTGCCAGAGGGATATCCATGCCACACCAGAGACAACCACCTTGGTGTAAAGTCTTTCCCTCTGGGAAAGGCTGGAGCATCTCACAGCAACATGTTGTTGCAACAGTGCAATTCCCAGTTTGTCCCTTCCCGGTTGCTGTTGGTGCTAGTGGCAAACAGCTGAGGTGACACTGAATTCTGCATATGGCAGTTTGCTCGGTGTGGGTTGGGTGACACCCCAGACTGAGCTGTGCTGATTTCTGATGATCCATCCTTCTGTCTTTGTTCCCCTCCCTGTCCTCACGGTGAAGGACTACGAAGATTTCTTCGAGGCACGAGAGAACAATGCTGTGTATGCGTTTTTAGGCTTGACTGCACCACCTGGCTCGAAGGTAAGTGAGCACCTTCCTCTCAGGCAACCACAAACTCTGCCTTGCACCTTGTTCTTCTCTCCTAGTAGGATATGCTATGTGTGCTGTGACTGCCTCAGTTATACCTGTGAGACACTCACTCTCCAGGGGTTAACTTTGAGACTTCAGCTTCAAGAGTAGTTAGTATTTGCACTGAGGAACAGGAGAAACCTAGATGCAAAAAAAGGGTCCCCAAATCAAAGAATGTTTTCAATTCAGTGAAAAAAAATTTAATTCCTGTGAAATTTGGGTGAGATTTTATACCAGAAAATACCTTGAAGCCAAAGTCTCTGTTTGCTCTTGCTTCAGAGTCATTTCTCCCTCCAGCTTGTTATCCACAGCCTTATTTTCCTCTGCCAATTACAGACTGGGCTGCTGCTTTGTGGGTGCAATGGGCTGGAATTCTCCTTTTGATTGTGATAGGATAGGACAAGCTGCTTTACACGTTTCACTTGACAGCAGCAGGATCCTCCAGGTCACTTCCAGCTTGCTCATTCCAGCGGATAAACATGCCGTGTCCTCTCAGCTTTACTCCAGGTCGTGCTGTGCACAGCACTAAGAGACCTAATTTGGGAGGTGGATGGTGACCCATCTGCAGTGATCATCAAGGGTTAGGGGTCAGACAAGCATTTTTGGGAGCCAAATTTCCAGCAGCAGCTCCACTGATGTGTGATGAGGACAAACTGCCTTGTGCAGAGCTGCAGAGAGCAAAGTATGTGGGGTGTGCCACAGCACAGGGCCAGAGCCCTGTCAGTCCTGCTGGAGTTCCTTGGAGCATAGAAGCATCAAGGTTGGAGGAGACCTCTAAGGTCATCAAGTCCAACCATTAACCAGTCACTGCTGGAACCCCCAAACCCTAAAACAGATCCTCCAGTGCCAAAATCAGACACCTCTGAAACATCTCCAGGGATGGTGACTCCACCCCCTCCCTGGGCAATATCCCAGGGCCTCAACACCCTAACAGGGAAATGGAATAATGGAATCATCAAGGTTGGAAGAGACCTCTGAGATCATCAAGTTCAACCATTAACCTGTCACTGCTGGAACCCCTAACCAGATCCTCCAGCACCAGATCTAGACACCTCTTAAACCCCTCCAGGGCTGGTGACTCCACCACCTCCCTGGGCAATATCCCAGTGCCTGACCAAACATCTGCAGTGTGCAGGATGGAGCCAGGGAGGGAGGAAGCAGCTGCAAGACCAGGGAAGCTTGTGCCTTTCCCCTGGGAGGTGCAGTGGGCCCAGGGAGCAGTTGCTGCCATGACAAATCAGGTCACCTGTCTCCGTAAGGCTCCCGAAGCTGCTGGCTGGCAGGAGCAGGCAGCACAGCTCTCAGTTGCTTGGATTCTGTCCTGAGGGATGTTCCCATTCTGTCCTCACCCAAGGAAAAGGTGAATTGTAAAAAGGAGGGACAGAACACAGTTGTGCTCTGCTGCGTTTCCTCATTGCATTGGGCTGCTGATGGTAAATAACCTCTGCAGGAGTGACCTTGTACCTGCATCCTGCTGTGGGGCTGGCTCTGGGAATCCTTTCCACTGCTGGGATGTCCAGTCAGGCTGATTGCCTGCTGCTGCTGCTGCTGAGGAGGAACACTGCTCTGGGGTGCTGAACTTGACATTCACAGCATAGCTTGGGTGTAATACTACAGAGAGTGACATTGCACCTGTATAACAGGGAAGGAATCTGGGATCAGCCTGTGTGGGATTGGGAGGAGCAGCTTGGCAGCAAACCAGTGCCATTCTGAGAGATTTGGGAAGTCACTTGACTCTGAACACAAAGGTTTGACATAAATTCTAAACAGGAATGGCTCAGAAGTGAGCATGGAAAATCCAAGGAAGTGTTTTCTGAGCCCTAGTGGGTTGGTTTGTGCTTCTACAAACCCTGGGAAAGGCCTTCAACTGATCTTCAACAGCCCTGCTTCAGGGAGGGTGGGTGGATTTTAAAGGAGAGGATTTAATGGGTTAAAGGCTGTGCCTAATTATTCTTTTATTAAGGATTTATGGGCTGAGATGAACCTTGAGGGAGAGATAAGGAAAAGCAGGAAGGAGGGACAGTGTGTAACCTGGCAAGCTGAGCCTCTTGCAGGACCACACCCAAGGAAAGGGAGTTTGACCTTAGAGAAAAATACATCATCAGGTTCTCTGGGTAACCTGTCCTCACCTTCCTGGGGATGAGGATGATACAGGGAATCCTCTCCAGCTCTCCATTGCAAAGAATCCAGCTTTATTTTCTCTTGCAAAGAAGACGAGTGAGGTGTCAGTGCCCACGAGTGGTTAATGGAGTTGTTCCACAGCCAAATGAACCTTCTCCTCTTTCATCCCTTCAAAGAACCACTTGTCTGTCAGAGAATACCAAACATCCTGCTTTTTTTTCCCAGGCTTAGTATCTCTTTCTGCTCTTTCTTTCATCCTTGCCCTGCCTGTTGTGCCCTGGGTGGACAGATGCCCTGGCACGAGCCGTGTGGGTCCTGGTGCCACCCTGGCTCTGCTCCCTGACCCGGGACACATGGCTGGAGGAGCAGAGCCCAGCCCAGGAGCACAGCAGCTCCAAGCCAGGCAGTTCCCACGGCCCTGAGTGCACAGGCAGGGTGAGGGCACACAGCCAGGAAAACCAGAGGGATCCACCACATCCAGCTAAGGGAGACATGCATGGGACTTCCTGCCCTGAGGTGACCCACTGTGTCCCTTAAAACCTTACAGACTCCTTGAAAATTCCCCCCTTAGTCCTTTCTCCTCTGTTTGATTTGTTCAGCAGTGCTGGTTCTTGATAACAGTGGTGTTGCTGAGTCTGTTATCTTGAGTGTTTCTATGCAGTCCCAAAAGCAAACAGCTCTGTTACATGAAAGTGAAGCTTGGCAGATGTTGAAGTTTGTCCCTTCACACTGTCCCCACCAGGGTGCTGCTCTGAGGGCAGTGGGACTGGGCATTCAGCTCACGTAGGCCATGTGGCTGCTCACAGGTGATCAACTGATCTGCAGTCAAAAGGACGCTTGGAGAAAGCATCTGCAGAAGGAAGTTCCTTTTGCATTTCCTCTGGTGTCATTCTGTTCCTATTTAACTGAGAATTCCTTTCCCACTTAACTAGAGTTCTTCAGATACTCCTTGAGCTGTAAATAACATGAAA